ACGGTAGGATTAGGCCTACAATATGTTGAATTTTGTTTTTAGATAATAAACAACATTTTAAATATGATAATAATACTGTAAAATGAAGACAAATAATAGATTAAGATAAGCATTACGATCTACGCCGCCCACATAACTTCAGTTGTTGTGCAATGTTGTAGCCCTTGGCTGGCTAGCGTCATTCCTACCTAGGCCTAGCCTACGAAATGACTAGGCAAGAAAGACAAGACGATTGTACACAAATCGTACGTACTGCATGCCTATTAAAAATAGTTATTGTACAAAATCTGTTTTATGAATCACCAATTTCCTTGGTTTGACGACGACGTACATGAAATTTAGTGTCTGCTATAGCCAGTTTTTGACTTTCCAAGCAGTTTTTGAAGCAAAGAAATCTAGGCCTAGGTCGGCCAAAAATCGCTGTCCTGTAGCAACTCTGGCTCGGTAATATGGTCGGCAATTGCCGATTGCCGACGTGAAATTCGTGGGCTACATTATTATTGCTGTTGTTTGCATCTATTAATTGGAGACCATTGTTTGGCAGATAGTCCATTAGTATATATTTGTGAACTTTGACCAGTCATGTGATATGGTATGTTTTGTTAAAGAGTATAAAATTGCAAGAGGTCCGACTGCCCTTATATTGTGTGCATGCAACGAAACGTTAAAAAAAGACTACCATGAGATGGGGGCGCCCTATTTACGAACGCCTTTTACTTCTTTTGAAGGACGCACTCTAGTCTGTGGTAGTACTTCTTTGAGATAGAATTGCGTTCCAACGAAAAACACAGAGAGTCAAACCCAGAGAGTCGGACTATATATATGTTATAAGATAATAAACTGTCACATACAATATTTTTATTTTATTTATGACAAACATACACGCATGATACTTTACACAAACTAAATCTCAATATGAGGTTTAGGGAGTGAAAAAAATCCTGCAACACTGACAGGAATTGAACCCAGGACCCTGGGATTGGAAGGCAAGCATATTGACAACCAAGCCATTCTTCCCCACTCCAAAGCCATTCAACTCCTGTCTCTTATACACATCTGTGAATTAAATGATATTATTTATTTAATTGTTCCACATTTTATTCCTTTTCAAAGCTTCTGAATACTACGTTCATAAAAAACTAAAAAACCCAAGTTAAAATGTGCCTCCTGTAGAGAGGCTACTGCCATTATTCAGCCCATGAAATTAGGCCACGTAAAATAAAACAATTGGTTAGCATCCCCGCCCGACCGTCGGAAAAGCCCCCGACCTGTTTTTTTTTTTTTTTTTTTTTTTTGGTT